CATGATGACCAGTTTAGATTGCGAAGAGAGCTGGAAGGTATTGAAATGGAGGAAGAGCATGGTGCAGAAGAGAGGGATCAGGATGATCACCAAGAACTGGAGAGCGAAGCAGAGGAGAGAATGAGTCCTTCTTGTGATAATGAGGAGCATGAAGAAGGTTCAAATGAAGAAAATCTGCTAAGACCGAGATCCCCACTGAAAGAGGAATCTAGGCAATCACCTTGAGACAAGCAGTACACCTGGTGGTTCTTAGAAGTAGATCTACCAAGGGCATAAAGCCCCTAAGTTTCTGGAAAATGTGGTGATATGAAACTTAGATTCTATATAAGTGGGAAGGTTCCTACACTTGCTTGGGAGTCATCTTTCTTTGTCTACACTGCATACTTGTAAGAACTTTACACGACACAAAAATAAACATAGTGTTTTCTTTGAAAAAAGCTACAGTTGTGGGAATATCAACTTTGAAATAAAAATTATGTGCATTTTCCATTATTTCAACGAAGGAAACCACAGGATTCAGAGGTATTTTTTAATATAATCCAGGATTTGAGAAATTAATTTGCATCACGTTTTGATGGCTTAAAATTAAATTCTTTACACTACCATTTGATGTAAAGATGGAGTCAGTATCAGAATGTTTTCAAATGGAATTGATTGATATGCAGTGCGACAAATTATAGAGATCTAAATTTCATTTTAAAGATGCTTCATTGACTGATTCTTATGCAAATTATATTTTCCCAAGTGAGAAGTATACAACTTAGTGAGTCATGAAAAAAAGATGCCATCTTTGTTTGGAAGCACTTACGAGAGTTAGCAATTATTTTCCAAATTGAAGCAAACTAAGAACATTTTGAGAACAAGATTAACTGATAACCATCTTGATAATATCTTGTTTTTGGCAGCAACCAGTTTAAAGCCTAATATTGAGAAGCTTTCAAGGAACAAAAAAATATCAAGTTTCCCATTAATTTTTTTGCTGCTATTTTTAAGATCTTTTTAAACAAATGATTCCAAAGATGTTTTAAATTGAATAAATGATGTTTTTCAATTACTACATTCATCTGTGATTAATACAAATTATTCTTAAGTATAGTCAACATCACTAGTGATTAAATTTTAGCATATGTAATTTTTCATAATTATTCTTTTATCGCCTTCTGGACACTATCTGTTATTAATACTCGATCCAGTCTGTGGAGGCAAAGAAATTGACACTGCTGGTATAAATTATCATCTGCAACCAATTAAAACTATATTCGTAAATAGTCTCATCAGATCTAGAGCTTATTGTATATTGGTATGATGGACAATCAGAACTATATAGACATTTATGGAAGAATATATATTCAGCTTCTCTGAAAGATGTCGATCAATGGAATGAATTTGCAATTCAAAAAACTTAGATGACTTGTTGAAAATGTTGTTTACATAGAAATGATAGAGAGGAAAGGGAATATGTAGACAACAACTTAACTGTTTTTGTTCAGAAGACAAGGTATTAACGTGTAAAATGAAATTGTTTATAACAATATATTTAATAATCTAACAAAGAATGTAAATATAATGCTAACTATAATTTTTATACCATTAGTTTAATGTTATCAGCTGATTGTTTTCATTTAAAAGATCCAAGGTGAGGATGATTAACCTCTTTGTTTACACATTTTTTATCAATTCACCCCAAACAAGGCAATAATGCCTCTATAATGCAAAAGGCTATTGGAAGTGAAAGAGAATGAAAATATTTTAGAAGGAACTGGAAACCCAATCTTAAACAGGAAACAAGGGATAAACCTCTACTCCTGTTCAAATGACCAGGAAGAAGCACGAACCATACAATAAGTTCACATATCTATTCCTAAGTAAATAAATAGTAAATAAAATTGCAGAGTTTAGGCAGACAGGTTAGAAGTATAGTTAAAGTAGACTTTAGTAGGAACCAGAAAACCAATCCTAAATAAGAAACAAGAGATAACTTCTGCTTCTGTTCAGAAAATCGGGGAGGAGTGTGAACAGGATAATAGGTGAACCTATCAAATCATAAAATCCTTGTTTGAAAATCTTCCGTCCATGACGCAAAGCAAGATAGAATATTGCATTATTTACTTGGCATTCTACAAATAGAATTTCTGATTTCTAGCCCTTCAGTTCGTTCTATGCCATGTGTTATACACACTTAGGCGATCATGTATCATTCAATAAGACTGACAAGGCAGATTTTTCCTCGCTGTAGGTTGCCATTTCTTTCTGTGGTAGACCAGTTGCCACCCAAGGCTATAGAACCCGGTCTGTCCTACTATTTACCCATAGCTGGGGGGGGGGAGAAGAGGATTCATACCTTTCCCAAGGGCATTAACATGTAAGTGAATTTCAGTCAGTTATGTGCTATGCGAGATACACACTAAGGTGATCATGTATTTTCAATACATGACTGACAAGGCAGATTTTTTCCCACAGTAGGTTGCCATCCCAGTCTGTCCTGCTATTTATTTATCCATAGCTGGGGGGAGAAGAAGAGGATTCATACCTTTTCCAATGCGATTAGCACATAAGTGAATGTAATGGATTTGACTGGAATTCAAACTTGGCTCTCCGATTCCTCAATCCAAGCCACTATCCTTTACTCTACGGTTGCCCTTCCATATTCTTTAAGAGAATTCTTAGAGAACCATGACTTTTTCCAACAAACATCTGTGCACTTGTTAAATGAGTAACATTTGATGGAAAATTTTTAGCACTAGGACGTAGTATGAAAAGGATGCTTTTCCATGACACCAGTTCTTTAACTACTTTCTTCAATGTTTTAAAAAGTGATGATTAGAATTGTAAAAAAAAATTAAAAATATGAAAGCGAATTAATACTTTTTCATTGCTCTTGAGAATTTGCAACAACAATAATAAATACTATTCATTGGATTGTTGTTAGCACAATTTTTTAGCTGTTTTGTCCTCTAGCCTTCCGTCCTGGGTAAGACGTTAAATTACATACGCGTCCTGGGTAAGACGTTAAACTACGTCCAGCAGCAAGGCCTGTTATCAGGAGGTTTTGAGGAGCGGGGAACAACCTCTTAATTGCTGGTGTTCCCAGGTCCAACCTGAGCCAAGGTGGTAGCACCTGTTAAGGTCTCAGCTATGGGCAAATAGTTAATATATTACCAGAAACAGATTTTTGACAAAACAAAATATTACCAGCAATAAAAATTTTTGTCAGCATTAAATAACCCAATGAGGTTTACAAGCCATTAAATAAACCAAACCAATCTAAACCAAAGAATACATATTCTATTCATATGATGAATCTATCCTAAAAATGTTGACAGCATTAAATAACCCATTGAGGTTGATATGCCGTAAAACAAAATAAACCAAACCAATCTAAACCAAAGAATACATATTCTATTCATACAAATCTATCCTAAAAATGTTGTCGGCATTAAATAACCCATTGAGGTTGATATGCCATTAAACAAAATAAACCAAACAAATCTAAACCAAAGAATACATATTCTATTCATACGAATCTATCCTAAAAATGTTGACGGCATTAAATAACCCATTGATGTTGATATGCCGTAAAACAAAATAAACCAAACCAATCTAAACCAAAGAATACATATTCTATTCATATGAACTATCCTAAAAATGTTGACGGCATTAAATAACCCATTGATGTTGATATGCCGTAAAACAAAATAAACCAAACCAATCTAAACCATAGAATCCATATTCTATTCATACGAATCTATCCTAAAAATGTTGTCGGCATTAAATAACCCATTGAGGTTGATATGCCATAAAACAAAATAAACCAAACCAAACCTCTAGCCTTCCTCAGGTGTATATCATATCAGAGTAAGTCATAGATAATTCTCAACTTGACCCTTTATTTAATCTCTGGGGGTAGATTATTAATATTCCATTGCTCATGTCTAGGAATATCATCTATTTCTTGTTTTATTAAATTAATATTAATAAAAGTGTTGTTTTTCTAAATTTGGTGACAAAATGGTTGTGAGTTCAATCACTGAGTCAGGCAGTGTGTACTTTTATTCAGTGTAACCTGCAAGCAATAACTGAACAGTACTAAATAAAATAAGGACTAGATGATATCCCTAGAAATTTTTTTTTTTTTTAAGCATTTCACCCCAAGCAAGGCAGGAGTTCCACTACCACATAAGGGGTTACAGAGAGTGGGATCAAGAGTAAAGAGACCTGATTGAGGAAAGGATAAAGGGCAGGGAATTAGATCATGGCATCAGAAGATGTCGATTGACATTACATTTGAATATTTGAAGACTATTACTATCAGGGAAGCAAGTAGTCCACCTCTTCTCCTCTCAGCTAAGGGTTAATTAGTAAGACTTTTATCATTAAATTATTGTCTAAAAAAAAAATCTAAAATATTTTCTAGCTTTAAATAACCTACAAAAGGTTGATAAGCCATAAAAATGAATCAATCAAGCAAGACCTTCTTATTCTTTTATTTGCTTTTTCTTTTCCTCTTCCTTCTCTCTATAATTAATGTCTTCCTTCCTTTCTCTAATATTGTTCCTTTTCCACACCCTCACTGTTTTCTACACTTTCTCTTTCTTTTTTATTTTTATCATATTTCTTGTTTTTTCCTTCGCTCATTTTCATCCCCCCCCACTTTCCTTCTTCCTGTCCGTCAAATTTCCCTTCCCTGATAGATTTCTTCTTGTTTACCTTTTACTTCTTCCTTTTCAGTTTACTCCATCTTGAGTGCTTGCCTTTTCATTATTTCCCAATTCTCCCTTGAATGTCCTATTATTGAAGGGAACACACCACTTGTCCCCATGTAAAAGTTTTTCCCCCTCTGCCCAACAGGATGTGCTAGCAAGTTGGGTGAGGATGAGTTTGGCATCATTTAGGAGGAAATTCTTTGGAGATTCCACTTCTTTCAGAGTTTGTCATCCATTTACTCCAGGCACAAGTGCTTCGTTTTGACAGCAAACAACAAACTAATAAAGATGTAGTGGATGAGACGAGTGAAAAATAGAAAGGGAATAAAATTGAAGAAAAAAAAAATAAAAGAGGAGGAAATCTCACTCTCTTTCTTTTTCTCCCTCTTGCTGTCTCTCTCTCTTCGCTTTCTCTTTTGCTCCCTCTCTTTTTCACTTTCTCCCTCTCTCTTTTCTCTCTCTCCTTCGCTTTTACTGTTTCTCTTTCTTTTGCTCTCTTTCTCTTTTTTTCTTTTACTTTTTCTCCCTCTGTTTCTCCCTCTTTTTCTGTTTCTCTTTCTTTTGCTTTCTTTTTCTCTCTCTCTTTCTTCTTCTCTTTCACTGTTTCTCTCTTGTTTCTCTCTCTCTCTTTCTTTTTCTTTCTATCTTTCTTTTTCTTTCTATCTTTCTTTTTCTCTCTCTTGCTCTCTTTTTCTCTTTTGCTCTCTTTTTCCCTCTCTTTCACCCTCTTTCACTGTATCTTTTTCTTTTGTTCTATTTCTACCTTTTCTCTCTCTCTTTCTCCCTTTCTTTCACTGTTTCTCTCTTGTTTTTCTCTCTCTATATATATATCTTTCTTTTTTTTCTATCTTTCTTTTTCGGCCACTTTTTCTCTCTCTTGCTCTATTTTTCTCTTTTGCTCTCTTTTTTCTCCTTCTCTCTCACTTTCATTGTTTCTCTTTCCTTTACTCTCTTTCTCCCTTTTTCTTTCACACTTTCTCCCTCTATTTCACCCTCTTTTTTCTGTTTATCTTTCTTTTGCTCTCTTTCTCTCTCTCTCTCTCTCTCTCTCTCTCTCTCTCTTTCTCTTTCTGCCCCTCTTAATTTCAGTACATCCTGTGAGGGTTCGATTTTACAAGCCTGCTTTCCTGATGATATGCCCAAGAAGTTCCAAGTGTCCTTTTTCCTTCCATTTTCCAAAAAACTTCATTATTATTACTATTTGATAATAATATTTATCAGACCCTCTTACCCCAATGAATAGGGTTTCACCAAAATGTTGAATGTGATTAAGAGATAAGTCGACTGAAGGCTTATAAATTTTTATTCTCTTTGTTTATTTCTCTCTATACACACACAAACACACACGTAAAAAAAAATATATATATATATATATATATATATATATATATATATATATATATATATAGGGTGCGGCTGGTATTTGAGGACATACAGATTTAAGATTAATACTGCTTCCCACCTAACTTCTGATGCTTTTATTTTTCAGAAATCAAGAATGGCAAACCTTATGATAACAAAGGAAATGAAAAGGCATGCTGTGATTGTGGCATTAAAGGCCGATCATAGTGATTTGGATATTGCACATTTACTCAGAGTTGCAAGATCGTTTGTCTACAAGATACGAAAAGAGTTAGAAGACGCTGACAGTTCCCCAATGTTTGTATCAAAACATAAAAGACATTCTGCACATTCTGATAAAGTGAGAACATCCGAATTTATTCAGGAAGAAAAGCAGACATTTGATGAAAACTGAGGTCAATCAATGAGGTCAATTGCCACAAAGCTGCATGTGTCTAAAAAAACCACACTTTTTTCCACAAGGTCTTAGAGTAAATGTTTCTGCTTACATTGAGGTTCTAGAACCAGTTGTCAAGCCCTGGATTTACAACATATGGAACGGCAGGCTTTTCATATTCGAGCAAGACTCGGCTCCATCCCACAAGGCTCTACAAAAACATGAATTGATGGCTGACCATTTATACAACGACATCACACCCAACATTTGGCCTCCTAATTCTCCAGATCTGAATCCACTAGACTATTATGTGTGGAGCGTTGTTAAGAAGGAGGTTAATAAAGAGCCTCATAACACCAAAGACTCTCTTAAATCTGCACTAGTTTGAGTAATGCATGACATAAATAAAGACCAATTAATCAAAGCTTGCAGCCGATTTTGACATCGTGGAGAGGCAGTTATTGATGCTAGTGGTGGTTTTATGGAATAAAATTAAATAATAGTTAAATTTCATGATTACTTGTTTGTAATCAAATATAATTATATTCATTTGTTCAGCAAGTTTTTTTACTAATCCATAAAATTTGTCCTCAGATACCAGCCGCACTCTGTATATATGGAGGCATGGTGGAGTAATGGATAGAGGCTTAGATTGATGAATCGGAGAGCCGAGTTTGAATTCCAGTCGAATCCATTACATTCACTTACGTGCTAATACCCTTGGGAAAGGTGTGTATCCTCTTCTTCCCCCTCCAGCTATGGATAAAATAGCAGGACAAACTGAGTTTTATAGCCTTGGTTGGCAACTGGTCTAGGAGAAGGACAACTTTGAATCCAAAACCTGCAGAGGGTCGTTTGGGGACCTTGTGGCACATGGTGCACTAGGTCTCTGTATTCGTCCCTTCAAAAAGTGTGGATGGTCCTGCACGAAACCTTCACCACTATAATCTCATGTGCTGTTGTTGGGATGCCAGTTTCCTAGGAACTGATCTGCTTGACGTTCATACATCAATATATATGTATTTATTTATTTATATATATGGGCATGTGGCCAAGTGGTTAGAACATTCACTTTCTGACCATGAGACCTGGATTTGAATTTCACCACAGTTGATTTGCCAGGAAGGACACTTCCTGATGTTATCAATCTGGAGGGAGACAAACCCTGTGTGCAGCACTTTTGGAAAGTGCCTGAAAACATACCGTGGATTGACCCAAGCCTTGTGAGTGAAATTAGGTAGCCAATTAGGGATTGGTTAGCCACCCTAGTAGACAGGTAAACTTGAATACAAGTGGCCAGCTGTTATATATCTATAATGAGAGAAAGATGAATACCAACTATTTTTAGCACTTGAAATTAGGAGAAAAAAAAGAATGAAAAATTAAGAAGTCGAATTATTAAAATGTCAATCTTTTCACAATAAAATTGTATTAACCAACAAATTGGTAATATTTTCAGAATGTATTCATATTTTGCCTATATTTCCGAGATGAGGTATTATGTACATTATTTACATTATTTGGACTATTGTCCTCACATTTGTCACCATATTTATCACAACGTTTTGGCCGTTGTATGCTCTGGCCTTCTTCAGATGGTTGGAATGTCGAACTGAACCCTTTATTTCGCTTTATTAGGCTCAAGGTAAGGCTTCAAGAACACCAGAAAGCTGTAACACGAGGGGAAGTAGAAAAATCAGGCGTGGCTGACCACATATGGAGAGAGAAGGGAGATCACCGCCCTCTGTGGGATCATGTTGAGATCATTCACAAGGAACACCATTGAAAATGTTCTCCAGGACACATGACAGAGTGGATAAAGGTGTTGGTTAGATCCAGTGACAGGACCCAAAGAGTGTGAGTTCAATACCTGGTTAAGGCAGTGGAGAACTTTCAGAGGGAAATTAACAGGAGATAACTGACATCCATCAAACATGGCACACGGAACTAGAAAAGTCTACCCTGGTGAGTGAAATAAAGGGTTCAGTTTGACATTCCAGCCACCTGAAGAAGGCTAGATCGTACAACAGCCGAAATGTTGTGATAAATATGGTGAAAAAGATGAGGACAATAGTCCAAATAATGTAAATAATATATTTATATTTATTTGGTGAATACACACTTTATTTAATGGTGTAATATTTTACTATAGCTTCTAACCTCTAGAAGTTAATTTAATTTAATTATTAATTAAATAATTAAGTACTAGATTAGCTGTTAATTCTCATCATTTTTCATTTAAAATGGTTAGTGTAACCATAATTTCTACACTAAGAATTTTTTTATTGCACTTCTTGCTTATAGAACTCTCTTCTAGCTTCTTGCTCCCCAGCCAACATTGATCTGCAAACGTAATCTTCTGTATTCTTAATTCTTGTTCTTTTATTGTTCTCTCCCCTTTGCAGTTTTTCTCATATTCTCTAACACTCAATAACCACATGTGTCCCAGTGGTTTAATTGCCCTTTTGAAAATTTGACTATTACATGACATATAAGGTAAGCATACCCATCCTAACGAGCTTGTATATCTGGTTGGCAGAACATGGATTAAGAGAGATAGCAAAAAGACAAACATTTCTAAGAGCTAAAAGGGATAGGAAGTTGTGAAGAACCATGATCGCCCACTTCCTAAAGGAACCCTCTAGCCATCTTCAAGTGTCCATTGTTATTTTCTACCTGCTATATCAATTTAAAAGGAATTATCCAACATTATTACTTCCTCATTGTTCACATGTCCCATCTAAATTCTTCTTTAGAACCACATTTATGTTTTCATCATCTGTGTGGAAATTGTCCAGCATTCAATGCTATATAGAAAAGTATGCTATTACATAACATTTCAGCATTGTTTTTTGTTTTTTGTTTTGGGAGCAAGAATTTGTAATTCTCAGAAGAGAATACTATTTCCTTTAATGAAAACTTTCACATTTAAGCCTCAATCCTTGTTCTTATTTTCTTAAGCAGTGACATTAATAACTATTGGTCTAAACTGAGAAGTCAATAAAAGAAAGATTGTGCCTCTGACAGGAATCAAATCTGTATTCTCTTTTCCATCAGGGAAAACATTTTATAGTTGTTTCTTTTTGTGTCCATTTTCCATAAAACTTCCTCATTGTTCACATGTCCCATCTATGTTAGTCTCAGTATTCTTCTTTAGAACCACATTTATGTTTCCTCATCATCTGTGTGGAAATTGTCCAGCATTCAATGCTATAGAAAAGTATGCTATTACATAACATTTCAGCATTGTTTTTTGTTTTGTTTTGGGAGCAAGGTAATTCTCAGAAAGAATACTATTTCCTTTAATGAAAACTTTCACATTTAAGCCTCAATCCTTGTTCTTATTTTCTTAAGCAGTGACATTAATAACTATTGGTCTAAACTGAGAAGTCAATAAAAGAAAGATTGTGTGCCTCTGACAGGAATCAAATCTGTATTCTCTTTTTCCATCAGGGAAAAAACATTTTATAGTTTTTTTGTGTCCATTTTCCATAAAACTTCCTCATTGTTCACATGTCCCATCTATGTTAGTCTCAGTATTCTTCTTTAGAACCACATTTATGTTTCCTCATCATCTGTGTGGAAATTGTCCAGCATTCAATGCTATATAGAAAAGTATGCTATTACATAACATTTCAGCATTGTTTTTTTGTTTTGTTTTGGGAGCAAGAATTTGTAATTCTCAGAAGAGAATACTATTTTCTTTAATGAAAACTTTCACATTTAAGCCTCAATCCTTGTTCTTATTTTCTTAAGCAGTGACATTAATAACTATTGGTCTAAACTGAGAAGTCAATAAAAGAAAGATTGTGCCTCTGACAGGAATCAAATCTGTATTCTCTTTTCCATCAGGGAAAACATTTTATAGTTGTTTCTTTTTGTGTCCATTTTCCATAAAACTTCCTCATTGTTCACATGTCCCATCTATGTTAGTCTCAGTATTCTTCTTTAGAACCACATTTATGTTTCCTCATCATCTGTGTGGAAATTGTCCAGCATTCAATGCTATATAGAAAAGTATGCTATTACATAACATTTCAGCATTGTTTTTTTGTTTTGTTTTGGGAGCAAGAATTTGTAATTCTCAGAAGAGAATACTATTTTCTTTAATGAAAACTTTCACATTTAAGCCTCAATCCTTGTTCTTATTTTCTTAAGCAGTGACATTAATAACTATTGGTCTAATTGAGAAGTCAATAAAAGAAAGATTGTGCCTCTGACAGGAATCATTCTCTTTTCCATCAGGGAAAAATTTTATAGTTGTTTCTTTTGTGTCCATTTTCCATAAAACTTCCTCATTGTTCACATGTCCCATCTATGTTAGTCTCAGTATTCTTCTTTAGAA